GCGCGCGAGGTAGTAGCACGTGGCGAGGCCGACGATGCCGCCGCCGCACACGACGACGCGGTGCGGCTGGGGCAGGACGCGCGGCGCGTCAAAGCCTCTTGCGACCGCAGACCCGCGGTGGGTGCGACCTTTCATCGGCGGCCGAATTCGAGGAATGGCGTCCATCGTACTATGTAGTATGCAGTAGGAGTCGTACACGAGAAGCCAGGCAGCACGCGAATTGAGGCCGTCGTCGTACAGTGTACTGGCCTCTCTGGCGGCCACCACAGGTTCAAAGGTGCACTCGATGTGACCAACGTCCTCACTTACTTTGCACTTTCTATCGAACATCACTACACTGTACTTCGACGCTTGTCGCAGGTGCGCCTTCGAACTTCGCTCGAAGGAAACCGGGCGCGAAGTCGAGATCGAAGTTCGAAGGCACCTATGTCCACTGGCACCACGCTGGCGGTCGGAGGAAGGAAGCGGGCAGTGATGGATGATGGTTTGACTCCAGGCTTCTGTATGAAAACGACTCTGGAGAACAGTGGTCTTTCGGGCAAGGAGCTCGTAGTGGACACGCTGCGTGGGCCGATGATGTCGGAACCTTCGCGATCGTCAGAGTTGGATGTTCTTGGTGCCACGACTTCAAGGCCAAAAGAAGAGGATCGATGGATGTCTGTGAGGACAGACCCATTGTAGATGGCACAGCGGCAAGAGGATGAGCCATAGCGCCGCACTGATTGATGTATGTGGGCGCCCGATCCTCTCTTCGCTCGCCACTTGCGACGGTGGAACTCCCTAGCGTCATCCTCGCTGCGACGCTGCTTTCAGAACCATCACTGACGATCATTGTACGTTGAAGTGACCATTCTCCGAGCCAACCATGGCTTGGCGCCTCAGGACCATCAGCATTTGGAAGGAGGTGCGAATCGTTAGCGTTCAGAGGATACCCACCAAATGATACGATGCAGAGTTCGTGGGCAAGCGTGCACGGCCTCGCCGCGCGAGATCGTCGGCAGGCACACAACCAGCACAGCCTTCCTTGGCGTCGTTCTTGGATGTGTCGTGATGGACATCAAATTTCATCGGAAGCAGATGCCAGCAAATATATTCTGCCGTCACAACCCTTCTCTCAATTTGCAGTTTGGCGGGCGGAAACCAGCCCAACGATGCGCTGAAAAGCGAGCAACAAACTTTGCAAAGCGGACAATTGCTTCGAAATACTGGATACGTGTTGGATAGTCATAATGGATATTCCTTGCTCGGGCTCACAGTCAAGTCGCATCCGATACCACGCAAAGACACGTCGTGCGCCATGCCTTTGCTCCAGCACACGTTGCCGTGGACTAGAAGAAGCTACAAGCTCCAGAGAACCGCCCCGTCACTGCTGCTCGACCTCATGATAAAAGTTTCAACCGACGCGCCGCTTATGAACGAGAGCTTCTCGTTGACGCGTTTTTGTACAATTTGGCTTGCTTGGATGGCCCGACGGGTCTCAGCGCCCGTGTCCTTACGCTTCCCACAACGCGCCTGCAGATGATGCAGTCGTGGGTCATCGACTCGACAGTGATTGTTACGTGGCGAGCTGTCGCGGCGTCGTCACACAGCACGGTGGATCCCATGTTCGCGCTTTGATTGGCTTGACGCTAGGCAACATGCGTTCTGATTGGACCAACGAAATATCGATTTGCATTTTCCTGGTAGGAACGTTTACGTGGTGTACCAGCATCCCAGGGGATTAATTCGTAAATTCTGGCCAACCCATTGGCTATATATCAAGCCATTTTGACCAATGAAACGCAGTTTTATTAGTCTGAGCCAATCATATCGCGCCAAATGCATCCTGTTAGGTGCGAATTAGGAATTCATGTTAAGTGCTGTCACATCGCCGGACGTTATACTTGAATAAAGTATAACAATTTCGATAAAGTACGACGGCGCACTTGACTGAAATTCACGCAACTTTCCGATTAGGTGCGAATGTGAAAGCGCGCTAAAACTGCAGCAAGCGACGACGGCGCGTTGGCCCGGGAAAAGTCTGCGCACCGCAGCGCAGCGAAGGCCGCGCGTTGACTTTTGTCTAGGCCAACGCGCCGTCGTCGCAAATACCGGTAAACAACGCTTCGCATTCAAAAGTTCCTACCAGCTCACCCCGCACGGGACCTGTTATTACTACCGAACGCATACACATATCAGTATATTACTTTAGCGAGCGTCGAAAAGACGCCAAAATGGTGGCAAGTCGCCGTTGCGATCTTCTACTGATTGATGTGAACCCTGCCGACCGCTTCTAGACTTAGTATTCTCCATTGCCTTTTGTCTCGTTTTCCTCGTTAGCGCTTATCTCCAGGGGATTGTCGAACGGCTAGGAAGGCCATGCTTTTGTTTCGGCCTGCGTCGCTTTGATTGGTGGAGACATGGGATCCAAGCCAATCAGAGAGCAGGAGGCGCTAGATGCCCTCTGCAGTTGCCAATCTTCCGATTTCATGCCCCGCGAGACTTTTTACGCGCTGGTGTCCCCCGCCACCTTTTGCACGCAACGCCATGTCTACGTCAAGCTCAAGACCACGCGCAATTGGGAACAGTGAACCATGAAGCCGCTGCGTACAGGCCGCAACGTCGAGTCGGCGCGCTGCAAGCCCACCAACCTCACCACGATATGGCTATCGCATTCCGAGGCGATGGAGTTACCGGCAACATCTCGTAGACAAGACCGAGGTCAACTCGCCTGTGGTGCATCTTTAATGACGGCATGACCGTGGGCGAAATGTCTGTGCGCGATATCCTTGACTTTGTCCACGCACAATACCGAGCTGTTGGTCGCGCGTGTGCGTTTCAGCTGCACGTGCCTCTCGCATTAAAGGGCCTTCGAACGCCATCCGACGACGACCTTGTAATCAGTACTGTACCACCTCTCTCTCGTATGTGTTGTGTCGCGCATCGACGAGCCAATGTGGTTGTCGAGCCCTGGACCAAGAAGCGCATTCGCGCAACCTAGGCTCCCGACCTCGTGCTTACTCGCGTCAGCGATACTACCTTGGAGACTGGTAACCTCAAATCTGTAGGCTTGGCCGGTGGACCGGGCCTCGAAACAGTACGCTCGGCTGTGGCCTTCTCCCGTAGGCAACTCCAAATCCTCAACTACATACAAGAACGACATGCTATGTGCTCCTAACCTCCAAATGCCAACTCCATGCACAGGTGGAGACGCGGTCTCCATACTCGCGCGTACATGGCCTCCACGCGTCGTAGCTTTGCCGCGGACGCTCGTGCTATTGTCCAACCACATTGGAATGGCATCCGACGTCGTCGAGCTCACCACGATGGTTGCCGACTGTTTTCGCCATTGCTTCGCGTCTATTCTATATATTGAGAGCGGTACCAGCCATCTTGGTCATTCGGCAGCATGGCGGCCTGTCGTGTACTTGGTGTTTGTATGGACGGCGGCCGCTGAGTCATTCGCCCCACCAAGTGGCCGATGACTCATCGGAGACCAGTCTTTTGCCCTTTGGAAACGCCTCTGATTGGCTGATATTCCGGCTCGTAGGGTAGGGTTCTCGCACGTCTTGAAGTAGCACGTGTCTTTTAATGCAATCTTTTATTGTTTTCGCGCTGCTACACTTGGTATTCAAATGCGGCATTGCCATTTCAATTAAATACAGTGTATATTAATGGGCGGTGCCACATGGCACTGTCGACCTTGGACGTCGCCAAAGCAGTTTGCATCTTGCGCCTTGCTACGCACGTCGCCATGTTCGTCGCCGCCCGCGCCCGAGTCCTCCGCCGCCCCGCCGCCCGCCGCTTCTCGTCGGCCTGGGAGAAGCCCTTCCCGTCCATCCTCGTACGCGGCGCATGCCAGGCGACAAGCAATAATTGACTCGCTTTTTCCGTGTAGATTGCCAAGGACAGCGTGTCGGCGCAAGGCTCGTTTGCCGAGGCCCAAGCCACGTACTTGCAGCCCAACATGGCGTCCGTGAAGGAGCTCGACGCGCTCCTCGCGAAGAAGAAGCTCGGGATCGTGGCGCACTTTTACATGGACCCGGAGCTCCAAGGCGTCCTCTCGTCGCTCCAATGGCCGCACACGCTCGTCGCCGACTCGCTTGCGATGGGCGAGGCCGCGGCCGTCATGGCCAAGAACGGCGCCAAGGCCGTCGCGTG